GCTGCCCCGGGCGGCGGCCCGGTTCGCCCATGCCAAAAACCACCACTGCCCTGCACAAACACTGGTCCCCCCGAAGGATGAAACACCCAGACATAAACAGTGATGTGGTGTATGCAATTAAATGTAGTCAGGAGTGTAACGACTTACACATTGGTGAAACTAAGCAGCCGCTCCACAAATGCATGGCCCAACACAGGAGGGCTAACCCCAGTGGACCAGAGTCAGCAGTCCACCTCCACCTGAAGGACAAAGGACATTGTTTTGAGGACAGTGAAGTCTGGATCCTCTCCAGAGAACACCGCTGGTTTGAAAGAGGAGTCAAGGAAGCTATATTTGTAAAAATAGAACACCTCTCACTAAATAGGGGTGGTGGACTAAGACACAACTTGTTATCCATCTACAATCCGGTTTTGAGATCTCTACCCAAACATGCCACCAGGACAATAGGCATCAGTCCATAGGTGAGGGTTCGATGAACAGGTAACTACGCTCACAGATACTGGGCTACAATGACCCAGTCATTAGGGGACATTGTTGGCCATCAAAGGACTGAAACACCACTGATGGGGATAAATATCTCCCGCTCAATGCCAGTTGGGCAGAACTGATGAAGCCTCTTGGATGAGAGGTGAAATGTCTTTGAACTAGAAACCTAGTCCAGTTTTTTTTCAGCTTACTATGACCTGGATGACTGAGAATCTGCACAGATACAATTGTACAGATATGCCTATTAAAGTGTCCATATGTCTATTAAAGATGTAATACCAAATCAGCAGAATTCTACAAAAAAAATTTATTTAAGTCCAGTTTTGCCCCTTAAGCTTGTGGAAAAACAGATGGCTCACCCATGTGGATTTATGTATTACTTGGAAACATGCTTCGTGGGATTGGAGAGACTCCCATCATGCCTCTGGGACTGTCCTATCTGGATGATTTCTCCAGGGAAGAGAACACTCCTTTCTATTTGGGTTAGTTATTTTTGTAGCCTGCTGATAGTGCTAGTTTTTATATTTTACAAACTTTCCACTTGTCTGTTACTTCATATTCTTTCATGCTTCATACAGTTTGCCATTTTGGAGCTTAGCTACTTATCATTTTGATAATTTATACCTACTTTTTTGTATTGTATAATTAATACTACTGTGCTGAAGTATGTAACCTCTCTTCTTTTGGTTCTCCATTTGCCAGCCTGTATCCATACAGTGGGAATCCTTGGACCCATGTTTGGGTTCATGCTGGGGTCCTATCTTGCCAAGATCTATGTGGACATTGGAGCTGTGGATTTAGGTATGGGATTTCTCAATATCGGAGTAAAAAGGACAAAATATAGTCACACTATATAACATACATTGGGCAACTTGGAGTAAAACTCCGACATTGCATCATTGTTTACTTGTTCATTTCATACAAGTGTTTGATAAGAGTTACACTGATAAATTAACACAAGGAACATCTGGTTGATGCGAGGAACACTGTGCCTTCAGTCACAATCTAGCATCAAAATGCCCTTCAGCAAAACAGTAAAACCTTGCCCTTTTTGAACCTACATGGTAAGTTGCAGTTAAAGGGCAAAACAATTGCGAGTCTTCTAGAGATGAGGATTTCCCATTGTTTCATTCCACTGGCCTAGTAGGACAAGTTCACATTTTAATGCATGGATTGGACCTGTTCATAGTTGCTGAACAAATGAGCTCCCTTGCCCCTGCTGGTATCTATGATGCCATAATGAAAAGGCTTAGAGATCACCCCACAATCTCTTTCATAACCTGCTGTCTTCATCCATCTTCCTCTCCCAGATAGTGTCACCATCAGCTATAAGGACACCCGCTGGGTTGGGGCCTGGTGGCTGGGCTTCATCGTGACTGGTACAGTGCTCCTGCTGTCTGGCATCCCTTTCTGGTTCCTCCCTAAGTCTCTGGCCAAGCAAGAGCAGAGGCAGAGTAAAAGCACAGAGCTTGCTATGGTTACAGAGCAGAAGAACTTCCTGCCAGATGAAAATGAGGCACATGAGGAGAAAGAGAAGCCTGTCACATTTCAGGAAATGGCTAAAGGTACCAAACAGCCTGTTGTATTTTTATAATTTACCACATAGTCGTAAAGACTTGAGCTTAAAACTACTTCTGAGACCAAGAACCAAGAAATCTGTCACTGTGCAAATAGGCTTTATAGTTAATGAGTTTAATCATCAACCAGTTATACCCCCCCCCAAAAGGAGAGCCGAACAGTGACAAACCACTACACAATCTGGGGAATAGTTGAATGACACAACAGGACAGAAAAACATGCAGCAACACTTACCTAAGCTAAGGCCTACTCACACCATAGGTGAATACACAACTGATAGTCTCTAAAATGTTCACTTTCGTAACTTAATAGTTTAACGTGAGGGATAAAAAAAAAAAAAAAAAAAAAGCAGCAAAATGGCACTAAACAAGTCATGATTACAAAGATCATGACCAAAGGTTATGTAATATTTAGGTGATTTTTAACAGGTACACAACACTGTGTGTGTAGTTATGCAGAAATATATTAACATTACAATGTGAAATATACAGCTACTTTATTCTCAGAGCTGTTTTTTTAGTTTGCCATTTTGTTGTCAAAGACTTGAGAATACCGCATTAGTTCAACTACACATTTTCACACTCGCTCCAGCAATAATGTTAAAGAAACCACTGTCTTTCAATAAAACCACTTTGCTATAATCTTTTGTGCTGTTGTGCTTTGTCCTTTGCCAGATTTCATTCCATCTCTGAAACGACTCTTCAGAAACAGTATCTTCTCAATGATCGTCCTCACCTACCTGGTGGTTGTCAGTGGCTTTATTGGCATGATCACCTTCAAGCCCAAGTTCCTGGAGCAAATCTATGGCCAATCAGCTTCCAAAGCCATTTTCCTCATAGGTACAGAGCAATAACTAAACCCCATTCACATTGCGTTTAGTGCCCTTTATAGCCTAAAGCAACTAAACATCTGTTATTAGAGTGAAGTGTGATTGCGAAACATAATGCTAGTTTGAAATGTAAGCACTAAATAGCCCACTGTGGATTCTCCTTTCTTGTGTGTATGGGCATAGCTGTAAAGTAGCACCTTGAGCTATGATTAGCCCTTTATGATTGTTTACCTGTGTGGCTAGCTAACAATGTTGTTGTTGGAAGGTTCATATTTTAAAAGCATTGTTCTACAATTGCCCAGAATCATTTGGCAGGACAGCTCAGACCCAGAGCATCATAGTCTCTTGTGAACGTGAATGCACCATGAGGTAGTCATCAAGCGGTAGAGCTCAATTAATTTAAAAATAAATATTTTTTTAAAAGTACATATTGTGCTAGCAAGCAAACAGAAGTTTGAAGAAAAGTTGGCTAAAAGGTAATAAATTAACATTTCAGATATCTAGCTAAAAGTAGTACAAAGAAAACTGTTAAAACAAATGTTTTGCAGATATAGTTAAAACATTAAGGTAAAAGTTATGAGAAAATAAAAGTACTCAATAAATATAGTTAAGAGCAAAGGATCAGTGGTAGAAATAGTTGGCTAACAGGACTGATACATGTTAGAAATTAAAAGTGGTCAAAACAGCTAAAAGTAATGCACAATTTGTGAAAACACCTATAAGTATTTAATAAAAGGTTACAATGAAGTAGTGAATAAATACTTGAAATGATTGTAGCTGGAAGTAATGGGTAAATAGCTGAAACCTCCAGCTTTTGCCACTCTACTGGTAGAAGTATGGCCACAAACCTGATCACACTGGTCTTGAATTTGTGGTGGTGGTGGTGGTGCAGATGAGGGGGCACTCATCTGACAGATTGGGGGGGTAGTATGAAACAAAAAAAGCTTGGACCTAACCTAATGTAACTGTTCGATATACCTTCAAAGACATCTCTGACACATTCTCAGAAGTTATCAAATTCCTTTGTTCTTACTCTTCAACAGCTCCTATGCTTGTGCGATACCTAATGCAAATAACACTGATTTCATTGCAATATGGCCCAAAATTGTGATCAGTAGGATGATTACAATTTACAATATTTCTAGTAACATGATCTGTTCAACTATCTATCCAGGTATACTGAACCTGCCAGCGGTAGCACTGGGCATCATCACTGGAGGTTTTGTGCTGAAGCGTTTCAAGCTAGGTGTTATTGGAGCAGCCAGAGTAGTCCTTTTTACCTCTCTGGGATCCTTTTGTCTGCTTGCCATTCAGAGCTTCATCAGCTGTGAAAACGCAGAAGTGGCTGGTGTTACCGTCTCTTATCAAGGGTGAGTTGTATGCAAACCATCCAGCCATGGCTGCATTGTACAAATTCTTATCACTATCTAATTTGAAGCATGTTTGTTGATGCTTGCACCAGGGAGCTTCAAGTATCCTACAATCAACAGACTTTGCTGTCACACTGTAATATGGGCTGCTCCTGCTCAATGAAGCACTGGGACCCTGTGTGTGCCGACAACGGCATGACATATGCCACACCCTGTCTGGCTGGTTGCCAGACTTCCACCGGCACTGGAAAGGAAATGGTGAGGGGGCAACTTACAGACCTTGGAGAAAAAATTGGGTTCTGTGTTATGTCACAGACAATGACAATAATCATACAGGAAAATGAGAGTGGATAAAGGGACAGAGCAGTGATAGTTTCTGGTAGTGGCATCAAAGACCTGCAATATAACCAGGCACAAGATGTGTACTGTTTGTATAGCTGTAAATTATCCAGTCATAAGTCCACAACTGATTGATTGTAACAGATTTAAGCACACACTCACTTTGCTGGTTCCTAGAAAAGAAAGAAAACTGCAGGAATTGGTCCCAAAATGGATTACTTTTGATCATCAGTTGCACTGAATATCACAGAAAAAAGAAGTGTCAGTCTCCAGGCATTGATATGTGCAGGTCTGAAATCCCACTAGCAGCTTCTAGAGGCTGTTTGTTGCACTTCACAGTATCAAAGCATCAGATGGAATGAATAACATTCTGAAAACGTCACTATTCTTAGAGCCTCACCAGTAGTTTTTCTGGGGAGTAGCATGAGAGCCAAGCCCATGTGGTCACTTAAAATAAAAGGTTTTGTTCCTCTGGGAGCATGAATGTACAATATAACCCACAACAGACAAACTTAAATGGATAATTGCTACTTTAATTTTTAGAAAAGTTTTCTTAAAGAGGCAAACAGGAGAAACAGCACAGCCCACATAGTCAGATAATCCTATTTTCACTCTTCTCTGGTTCTTTAGGTGTTTCATAACTGTACCTGCATTGAGGAGATGATGACCCCAGACATAAACAAGTCAGTAGTGCTTGTCTGTACTGGGCTCTTTCATATCTGCCTGTGGGGGCACACCAGGATACATCTTGCTGCTCAGGTCAGACACACAAGCTAAAGGGGTTAATAGCTCAGCTCACATCTTTTACATCTAGGTATAAATGATGCCTTGCACTGTCCTAATGATTTTTGACATTTGTAATGATTTTATGGCACTGCATGAAATGTATGTCAACTTTATGTGGCAGCAATATAAAAGTTTATCATTTTATGTACATTTTGTATATTCTAGTGTAGTTTAGGCAGTGAGACAAAAACTATACCATACTTCAGTTGGAGGAAAAGAAGCTACCAAACTGCAACTAACACAATTACAATACGTTTATCATATGCCTTTTTAAGCTAAAATGTTTATATTAACTTCTAATGCGATGACTCTACATTTTCCAGGTCCATACAGAAAGACCTCAAGTCGCTGGCTTTGGGTATGCATACACTAATAGTCAGAACTCTGGGTGAGTACTATTTCTGTTATATAAATGACAATGTTGTGAAAAATACAACAATATCTGGCTTCTAATGAGAGCATTGATGATATTTAACCTGGTTGTATGTAAACACGTGACTGTGTTTTTAGGTGGGATACCACCACCTATTTATTTCGGAGCACTGATTGACAGAACCTGTTTGAAATGGGCCACAAAGCAGTGCGGAGGTCGTGGAGCATGTCGACTCTATGATGCTGATGCCTTCAGGTACAGTGAAACCAGACCTAAATTTTCTTTGTTACAATGTTATAATTATCATGTTAGACATGACCTAAATCTAAAGAAAATGGTGTATGTATGTTCTAGTACTTCTATGCAGCAGCAATTTGGTTTGCACAAGTCTCTCACTCACAAGACTCAAAGTATTACGTGATGGTTAAGGGTTTCCTTGAATGGCCATAATCACCAATTGCACGTTCATGTGAGCTTGCCTGACATCCACTGGTGCCAATGTTAAAGTGGAATTTTTTGAGTGCGTGCGGTTTTGTGGATATACTTTGCATCCTGCTGCCTGCACTGTGACCATAGGATGTGGAGAAAAATACAGGGCCTGAGGTTACTGAATGTCCAGGAATGTTCCTGTACAGGGACTCAATGTTTTACCTGACTGGGTCTAACCTACAATCAGCCGGCCAGTGAAGCACTCCGGGGTGGTGAATGATCAGCTTATCAATGCTGGATTCCCCCCGGAGCACAGTACCTATTTGTTTTGACTGCTTGACCCCAGTGTGTATGCTGCTGCAATGTGTTGCTGGCTAGCAAGCGAATTAATCATTAACATCTATGATGTTTTCGGTGCTATGCTACCTGTTGCAATTAATTTCACTACTATGGGACTGTATGTGGTTGTGTGGGGCAAGATGCAGCAACCACCAGTTGGATTTACCAACCTTGGAGCTACTTGAAAGGGAGTGATGTTTCCACTACTCGGTGGGACTTAACAGTAAGTTGAAAAAACACATGTTGCGTGTCTGTTAAGGCGTTGCTTCTGTAGCGTTAGAGAGAATTGTTGTAAGGCTGGAGAAGTTACTACATCTGCATTATGCCAGTTAAAATATAGGGTTTCTCAATTACCCGCTTTGTTTAGAGTGTTACAAATCTCTTTTCATCAGCACATATACAATTGTTTACCTATCTATGGAGGAGAAATTAATATTAATGCCATTGCAGTTGGTTGTGCTGTCCACTTCAACACAACACCGGCAACAGGAGGTGTGCACGTTCATGAACTATCCTCTCCTCTCATTTTTAGGAAGAGACTCTCTGGTTTTATCATTGTGAAATAGACTCTTTGGAGTTATGGTTGGTGCAAACTAATTTAGAGGTACCCAAGAATAAACATTAAATGGCTGGAAACAAGTAAAACGAGCTGGCATGCTATAAAACATTTAAGCCAGATATTTAGATTCATAAAGTCATTTCAAAAGTTGAAAGTCAATCACATTTGTCTTACAGAATTGAGTACCCTAATTTTATTAGCATTTTCAGAAGTCAGTTTCTGATTATATTTCTTTATATGGTTACCCATGAAAAAGTTTAATTACATCCATAATTAAGCTGTTCTGAATGTTGAGAAATTTGTGCAGCAGTTTAAAATCAATTTAAATATATAAAAACAAACATGGTCATTGAATTGCTCGTGCTTTTGAATACACTCTTGCGTACTGTAGTTTTATACAATACACAGTTTAGTTTGTGTTTATTAGTGCTTTGCCTAACCTGTTTCAATACACTGTACTTCCAGAATGACCTTCATGGGGTTGATTACTGGACTCTACTTCATAGCCAACATATTGTGGGGATGCCTCTACTTCAAAATTGTCAAAAGACAGAAGAAATTGGCGCTGAGGAATCAGGCCAATGAAAATGGACTGGAGTCTAACGAAGTGACCAATGGCCATGCCAATATCAGCATTGCCAAAAGCAAAGAAGGCACAGACAAGGACAGCACTATTTAAGGAGTGTTAGAACAGCAGCAAAAGTACTGTGCTGCACTGAACCACATGTGGTAATGTTAGTGTCAGCACTCTTTGGTCTACAAGCAGTATACCTCTTAATTAAATTATATGTAATTCACATGTAAACATAATTCCTCTGTAGGGACAGGGCATAAACTATGAGGTCTTTTTTTTATTTTTATCTACTTATAGCATAGCAAACCATAAGGGGAACATAGACTGTGTTGTATAAACAAAGCATCTGATTGGCCTGAATTCACAATGAAACATTTCAGAGGTAATGTCAGAAGAAGTGAGAAGAAGGTATGTCAAATATTTGAGGAACATGTCCACCAGTTACAGTATACTTGAATAGCATTTGGTCAGGTAATGATAATGTCTTATCCTACAGCTTTACATTCAAAGTGATTTATCTGCAGTGGGAGTTTGGCAAGCTTGTATACTGTATTTGTACAAAATATATACTATTGTAGTTTTAAATGCAAGACAAGAGTGTTTATGGCTTAACATATGGTAGGATCATTTAGTAACACAGTAGCATAGATCATGTTTTATTAGTGACATTGTTTTCTATGTTTTTCAGTTATGGGTAAGAGGTTGTGAGATTGTACAGGCCTCAGGCAGATTGAAAAGGTTGGAAAAAAAAGATGATTTCCAGCGCTTTCTGAAAGGAAGATTAGAGACTGGTTGATATTTATTAAGAGACCCTGAAACAAGCTGTGGTTTTTTAAGTAAAAGTTTAAAAACAGCAGTTTTAAAGCTGATGGATCAGTGCTAGTGGTAAATGATAAATTAACTATATTTCACATTGTAGATGTCAAAACTCTCCAGAGATCTTAAAGTTTAGTTGGTAGAGAGTCAAGGACTGAGGTAGTAGGGTTAGAAGATCACACCATCTTAGACCATCCAAAAACAGACTATCTCGGATTCAATATAATGCTCATCTGGTTCCACACAGACATATGAAATGTTCATTAATGAGCTTTAGAGATGCTGGTAGATGGATTTTGAACCTTGGAGAGATCCAGGGTTAATGTTCCTCTGTTCCCACTTTTTGTGCCAAGCTAACCCCCAGCTACTAGTATTTTAACATCTAACTTGACGACAAAACAAGCAAGTGGATTTCCTAAAATGTGGAACTCCTAAGACATTTTATATCAGTTTTAAATTAAAATGTTGGACACTGATGCAGTAATAGCCCACATTTTATTGTGTGAATTCGCTGCAGTTGTGACCCAACTTCATGTACATTATTTTGTGAAGAAAACCTAGTAAAACAAATCTCACTGCTTTTAAAAATGTGTGAATATCTTGTCTCTTTGTGGCTACATTGGACTACTTTGTATACATAGTGTTGAGTTCTATTTTATTTGTGCTTTTCATCTATGGCAGGCTAGTAAACATTACTCAAACTGTTAGCAATGCACCCCAGCAACTTTTGCCATGTTTGGACAGCTCACCTGTTGGACATCGCGCATACTTACTGTTACATCACATCATTTAATACAAACCATAAAGGTCATAAATGTTCATATAACCTTCTGACTCACCAGTGTTTGTAGTCTGTAGTTCACTATAGTTTGGACAGTAGAATGAGTTTAAATCAACCTTGATTGTATTTTATTTTATTATACACTGTAGTGATTTAGTGCTTGATTAACATATCAATATATGCATATACAATGAAAATTTATATATTCAGATTTTTTTGTTGTCCATATATTCTCATAATTTCTACCCTTTTTAAAGTTTTGATTGTTCTTGAAGCATATCTGTAAACATTAAAGATTAATTTTCAGATTATATTCAAACATTGGATTTAAAGCTGTTGGTATGTTTTTCCTGTCTCCTTCATGTTTGTGTTACCCTAACAGGAACATCATCTTACAGCTGTTGTGTTGTATATTGTGCGTGGCATTTGGTGTAATTCATTACAGTAAGGGTTCCAAAGCCTAGAGGCTTATCATTTAGCTTTTCCTCAGATTATTGTTCCTCATATGCTTTCACACTTGTTTTTGCTACATTTTATTTATTCCAAGTAATTTTTAGAATAGTTATTCTTTAGGAATTTTCTGATGAAGTTGCCTTGTTTCCTTTTGGCCATGCTAAGGGAACCGTTTCTCTTTCTTACATTGGTCTCAATACAGCCTTAATTTTGGGTCAGGTAGGAGATCGCAAAAATTTGTGTCTGTTTAAAGATTGACAACACAATTACATTCATTTCAAGCAGCTCTAAATACATAACATTTTATGTACAATATTGTGATGAAAGTAATGTAAAATAATTCAATTTCACCCATTTGATTCTAAGATCAAGTCTTTTAATGTAGAGATTTCATTTAAGAATGTCTGAAGTGTGTGCCTTTGAAATTTCATTTTGTTTTTTCACTGGACTAGCTTGCAACTTCCACCACTCCCTCCAGCCAGGTCAGCCACTGGTAGTTTTACTGATTACCTCTTTTTTTCATTTTTCTCTTTGTACATGTGGGTCGATATATCAGGCCGGGTTGCTTAAAGTTGAAGGTTATGTAACATTACATAACCTAGTCTGATAAAATTTGACTACTGTGTTCTCTTTATTCTATTGGGCCAAAAGCGACAGCTATCTTTTTTCATGTTTTTTTAACCTTTTATAATGCAATCTCATTTATTATAACCAGTGATTGATAATTTATAATTGTTAATCCCTTTTATTACTAGTATGACAACAGTACTGGTGTATGACTTTTACCATCACTTTAGTTGACAAAGATTGGCAACGTTTTTATCTTATGTGTTCTTGTGGAAAAGAAAATACTATTTATACTCCTAATTTTAGTTACTGACTTTATTTTATTTTTCCTCTCATTGTTGATGAATCTGGAAAGCAATGCAGTGTCTGGTTTCACCAGCAGACTGTGCACTACACAGTAAAATATCCAGTGTTAAATGCCTCAGTGCCACTGAGAATGGGTCACTGCTTCTATTTTTGTACAAACCAAAATCAGTCAACTTTAGTATTGTAGAGTTTAATAAAATCATGTTAACATGCCTAAAAATATCAAACTCTCACCGTCAACACAAGTACATGTACTATGTACAACAGGCAGGACTCATGGCAGACTGCAGTCCTGTCTGAATGCACCTGAAACTGGATGCAATGAGAGATAAAAATACCTGGGCCAAATGCAAACGTATGGGGCCAAGTATAATTTTTCATAAGGGGAAAATGGTAAACATGCCATTTACTGTTACTGTGCAAGAATGTGAATATTCTTAATCCTTGGAATTCAAGAGGGGCCAAAGCTGATTATATGACCTACTGTGTGGTCACATACTAACCCCCAGCCCCCACCCCCTATACGAACTAATAGAGCATTCCCCAACATATGTTTACAGTGAAACACACTATTCTGCATTTGAGTTATCAGGCCATCCATTATAGTACTGGCTCATGCATGGACAGTATGTGACAATGAATAGTTACTTTATAAATGAAGTGACATTTTTAAAAAGCATACATGTAATTCATTAACGGTAACAGCAAGGAGCATCTAATATTTCAGTAAAAAAAAAAAAAAAAAAAAGGGCCTGGTTTTGACTTGATCCATCTCCCACTCAGTCTCTCCCCAGTCTCTTGTTGCTGTACCCCTCTGCTAGCTGGCATGTGTGCAGAATAAAAATGTGGCAGACCTTTTATCCCACGTGTCCACTGGTTCCATGTAACAACTCTGTCCTCACACAGGAAAAAACAGGAGCTTGGGCACAGCAGCTACCGTAGGAGGACAGAAACATAGCTGATAAAAGAGGAGCAGAAGAAGAGAGGGGAGACCCCATTCCCCTTGGGCTGGAAATGCACTAGGTGTTTTTACTGTACTTCCTCTGTCATTGCAATAGTGTTTTTCCTCTCTATATTACTTGTTTACATGATGTATGTCTAATTAGTTGAAAAATATTAAATATAATTACATGCCCAGCAATTCCTCTGCTAAGACCAGAGCTGCTGGTCATCAATGAATCAGATTTAAGGCAAGGTGTGGTTTACTGGAGTTATGAAGTGAAAAACCTGGTCATCTCTCTGTGTTTGAGCACATAGCAGCTACTGGAAACCAGTCTTCTCTCTGATATAGATTCAACTTGCAGCTCTTGATGTTTACTGATGTGACAGTATTACGAAGAGAGGTAACAGGTGGAGTTTACATGTTGCACTTCAGAAATATTAATTCAAATGTCTGTCTTGTTAAAATATGAATTCATATGAACAGAGTCAGACAATTTTATGCTCGTAACTAATTGCTGGTCTCAAGTCCTTGGAACAGTTTGCTTTGATTCATTATTATGTAGTATGTAGTGATTAATGAAAAGCTTGGTAAAGCTTGTCTAAGTGAAGATGATCATTACACTAACATCTGCCAAGTTTGCAAAACGCATACTTTTTAAACAGTATGTTTGCAATGTCATTTAGTGAGTACTATAAATGTCAGCAAACATAAAATGTATATCAGTTATTTAAAAATGTTTTAACCAAGTTTAAAGGAATAGTTTAGGACTAGGTTTTCTTCACAAAATATACTTATTTAGTATTGATATAACCCTCTTCAGGATAAGTGGTATAGATAATGGATGGATTGGATGGATATTGATACTGGCTTTGATGGCCTATCTATAGATTAATAGCCTATGTACAATATGTACTGTAGCTACAGATAGCAGCTAGTTAGGTCAGTTTCTGTGTTCCTGTTTCTTGCCTCAGTACTAGCCTTTACATTTACCTGTTTTCTAGTTGCTAGTTTCTATTGTTATATACTTGCCTGTGTCAGCCACCATACCTGTACTGCTGCAGTACATGTATTATATCTGCAACTGACGGTGTTCCCCCAGGCCATCACTCTGATGAACACTTAGCCAACAACAGTATGACTGGACAATAACCCTCAGTGCAAAACCTGTAAATACAGTGAGGAACAGAAGTATTTAAACACCCTGCGATTTTGCAAGTTCTCCCACTTAGAAATCATGGAGGGGTCTGAAATTCACATTGTAGGTGCATTCCCACTCTGAGAGACAGAATTAAAAAAAAAGATTTCAGGAAATCACATTGTATGATTTTTAAAGAATTTATTTGTCTTGCACTGCTGAACATAAGTATTTGAACACCTGAGAAAATCAGTGTTAATATTTGGTACAGAAACCTTTGTTTGCAATTACAGAGGTCAAACGTTTCCTGTAGTTCTTGACCAGGTTTGCACACACTGCAACAGGGATTTTGGCCCACTCCTCCACACAGATCTCCTCTAGATCTGTCAGGTTTCGGGGCTGTCGCTGAGCAACGCAGAGTTTAAGCTCCCTCCAAAGATGTTCTATTGGATTGAGGTCTGGAGACTGGCTAGGCCACTTCATCCTCTCCTTAATACAGTGCAGACGTCCTGTCCCCTTCGCAGAAAAGCACCCCCAAAGCATGATGTTACTACCCCCATGCTTCACAGTAGGGATGGTGTTCTTGGGATGCAACTCTGCCTTCTTTTTTCCTCCAAACATGATGAGTGAAGTTTAGACCAAAAAGTTCTACTTTGGTCTCATCTGACCACATGACTTTCTCCCATGCCTCCTCTGGATCATCCAGATGGTCTTTGGCAAACTTCAGACGGGCCTGGACATGTGATGACTTGAGCAGGGGAACCTTCTGTGCAATGCATGATTTGAAACCATGACGGCGTAGTGTTCTACCGACAGTGACCTTTGAAATTGTGGTCCCAGCTCTCTTCATGTCATTGACCAGCTCCTCCCTATCGTTCTGGGCTGATTCCTCACCTTTCTTATAATCAGTGATACCTCACGAGGTGAGCTCTTGCATGGCGTCCCAGTCCGAGGGAGACTGACAGTCGTCTTTAGCCTCTTCCATTTTCTAACAATTGCTCCAACAGTTGATCTATTTTCACCAAGCTGCTTGGCAATTGCCCCGTAGCCCTTTCCAGCCTTGTGGAGGTCCATAATTTTGTCTCTGGTGTCTTTTGACAGCTCTTTGGTCTTGCCCATGGTAGTAGTTGGCGTCTGACTGACTGTGGGGTGGACAGGTGTCTTTAAAGAGCTCAGACAGGTGCTACTAATTTAGATTAATGAGTGGAGTAGAGGTGGACTTTTTCAAGGCACAGTAACAGGTCTTTGAGAGCCAGAATTCTTGCTGTTTCTCAGGTGTTCAAATACTTATGTTCAGCAGTGCTAGACAAATAAATTCTTTAAAAATCATACAATGTGATTTCCTGAATTTTTTTTTTAATTCTGTCTCTCAGAGTGAGAATGCACCTACAATGTGAATGTCAGACCCCTCCATGATTTCTAAGTGGGAGAACTTGCAAAATCGCAGGGTGTTCAAATACTTCTGTTCCTCATTGTATACCTCGTACAGACTATACAGATACATGGACTTGAACTCGAGAACTGACTGCATTTGGACTTGGAAGTTAGAACCAGGACCAACTTTGTTTTTCTAATTGGCCATAATAATAATTTGGCAAAAGATATTAATATTAAAACCTGATCTCTTGCACCATGCTGTGTCTGGCACATGTCCATTAAAGCTTACACTCCGCCTATCAAAAAAGATTCACACTACTCACTTCTAAGTTTTGTGTGTGTTTGCTTATGAGTGCATTTGTTTGTGTGTTTACTTACACACAGTAAGTAAATTTCTTTTTAAATGCTTATTGCTGCATCAGTTGTGTTTAATA